ATTGCTTCACTTTGTTATGACTGTTTAGAGAAAATAGCCATCTCAAGCAGATGTAGGATCTCTGTCTGTGGATGGAGGGGCTTGTGTTGCCCCCCCAGAGACAGACACATTATTATTTTTTTTTTTATTATTTTGAACAACTAGATACAAGACAAGGACAGACAAAAATAATAATTAATTTTGAAATGCTTTAACTGCATCACTCACGTCTCGTCATACCAGAGTTTTAAACTGATATCGTATTTTGAGGAATGGCAGTAATGCAAGATGGCAATACCTTGCATGTTGTGTTAGCACTCAGAGTATGTGTTGTGGAAGACTCTCAGCTACTACCACTCCACATTTTAGATCATGAAATATAAATTACACTGATAAGCTTTGCCAGCCATCTTGAATCTGGTTAACTATAAAAGTTAATCAGCTGAGATTTTCAGCAAATATTTACTTGCCAAGAATTTAATTGAAATCCACCCAACAGTTCATGAGACAATTTGTTAACAAACAAACAGGGTTGAATCCAACAGTTTATGCCAAGGCGTTAAGCCAAAAAGTTTTACAACATGCCACACTCAAAGTACATGTTGGGGACAATGCTCAGCTACTAACATACTAAATGTTACCTTAATATAATCTGCAAAATTCAGTTACAGCCATTTTTTTTTTTTTTTTGTATTCTAAGTTCAGTTAACTGACTCCAGAAGTTAAGCAGTTGTAGATGGATACAATGAATACTTTCATTACATTATTACATTTAATGATTTGTTTCCAAACTTCAAAAAGCCATTTAAGGGTTAATGATATTTTGCTAACAAACAGACAAATAACATGTACAGGTGCACAGATACAAGCAAAAACACCATGGATTCACTGACAGGTGATAAAAAGAGACAACTTAAACCATGTAGAAGGAATTTACTATAAGGATCTTTTTCATTCATCCCCCCACATATTGATGATTTGGGGGCTTTCGTGATCCCATATATGATTTGATATACATTTCCCCAACTTATTTCATTTTAGTAGATAGCCTTGTTAAATATATTTCTAGAGGAAAGAGGAGCACAAGGTTACTTTTGCATCTTGTCATTTTTCATTAAGATCCAAAAAGCACATGAGGTCAAAATTCTCTGCAAACCACATATCAGGTACACAACTGTCAATGGTTTGTGACTGTTATTCAACAACAGTTAGACATTTTCTTCACAATGGGCAGCAACTGGTTAGCAAAGAAAACTACCTAGGCGAAGCCATGTGTCTGCCTGATGGTAAATTTTGAGGAAAAAAAAAAAAAAAAAGGTTATAATACCTAATTTTCAGTTTGCAAAACAGCTTGAAATGCCTTCATACAAATGTTCCTATCAGGTACTTAAAAGCACACGCAAAATATCTTAGATGTGGCTGTGCTCATTTACACCATCAGTGTTTAAAGAGACCTTGCTAAACCAAAAACAAGCTGTAGTGAAAAATAAACTTTCACACCAACACTAACAACGTTTTATACTGCAAATAAATAAATCTCAACCCAACACTGATGTATCTCAAGACAGGATGTGAAGCCAATAGAAAAGAGAAAAATATAACTAAAACAAGAGCGCTGCATACGTCACATTATACGCTCATCGGCAAACTACTACACAGCGATGGCTCGGGAAGCAAATAACTTGTGTAATATATGACCTTGATTTGCGACCTTGACATTAGAGCGGGGGTGATGAGAAAAGGATGTGACACTCCGTCTAATGATGATGCAGAAGTGTGTTGGCTCCCTGTCAAATTCAGAACTGAATTCAAAATCTTAATTCTAACCAACAAAGCCCTCAACAAACTAGCTCCATTTTATATTACAGATCTTACTGTTCCATATTTTCCTAACAGACTTCGCTCTCAGACTGGAGGCTTACTTGTGGTTCCTAGAGTTTACAAAAGCAGAATGGGAGGAAGATATTTCAGTTATCAGGCTCCTCTCTTGTGGAACCAACTTCCAGTTTCTGTCCGTGAGGCTGACACATTGTCCAGTTTTAAGACTGGGATTAAGACTTTCCTTTTTGATAAATCCTATAGTTAGGGTTGATTTGTTATGCTGCTATAGACTTATATGCTATATATGCTATAGACTGCTATAGACACTGGAGGACACATTTACCTGTTTTAAAAAAAAAATGTTTGTATTTGATATTATTTCTATCTTAACATGTGATTCTGGACCTGCCATTGTGTATCTGTTCCTACCAACCACAGCCGGTCGAAGCAGATGACCACTAGTCCCGAGCCTGGTTCTGCTAAAGGTTTCTTCCTAATGAGGGAGTTTTTTCTTTCCACTGTCGCCTTCATGCTTGCTTGGGATGAGAGTCTGCGATGAAGTTAGACTCAAAGCAGTCCGCTCCTCAGATAAATAATGTCATTAATTTATTTTTAGTGTATATGAATGTTTCTGTTCAGTGCCCTGAGACGACTTCTGTTGTGACTTGGTGCTACATAAATAAACTGAACTGAATGAACTGAAGTGTATCAAGTTTCATTAAATTATCTTGAGCGGATCAGATGTTACAGGTGGGACAAGAGAAGGTTTATGGACAGAGACTAGACCATAATACGTCCCGTTTTTTCGATACAAAGTGAAATGTAACATTTTGTGAACTTGCACAAATGTAACATAAAACTAATCCACCCCTGTACTAAACAGACATGAGCAAATTCTATGTTTACTTTTGCGCATGAAGCAATTTCCTCCTCTTTGGAAATATGAAACAAAAAATATTTTTGCTCCATTTCCAGTATTGCGTCTTATTTTTCGACGTCTTAAATAATCCACAAAGCGATGAGAAACACTTTTGTTACTTCATGCTTTAAAAACCGCAGATGTGTGACTATGATGAGGTGGCGTACACCGGCTTTTAGCTCAACAACAACAAAACATATTGCTGCACAAAATAAGCAGTTTGTTTATGCTCGAGTTCGCCAAAGTTGTGACTCTTTAATGGAACTACTTTCCTGCTAATTGTCAGCTACAGACAATAAAAATTAGCATGTTAATTATACTTTACACATTTGGCACCTGCTGTGATTATTGGAGCTGTACTCCAATTTATTTCAAGGCATAAACTATATGCTGGAAAAAACATCCTCAGCAAAGGAAATTTGAGTTTTCTATAGAGTCAAAGCAACAACACTTTTTATGAAACATTGCTGTGAACCCAGACTCCTGGTTTTGTTTATGTTTAATGTGTTTTGAGTGACTTTGTGCAAGTGACTTTGTTTAAGTGCAATGAGCAACTCTTTTCCAGCGATGCCTTGCAGCGCATTTAGCTCGGCCCCATGAGAGAGCAAAAGCAACGTTCAGGCTTTTTATTTTGTTCACCTTCGTCAAAACTGTGTCTTTGTATATAATGTGAAATTTCCACAGTTTAATGTGATGTCCACAACATGTGTACTGACTCTGCTAAATGGATGTTTGCACGACGGAACGCAGAGCTTGTGTAAAAATTGTTCAAGTATAATAACCATGAAAGAAGCAAATAATTACATACAATTAAAGGCCAAGCGTACCTTGAAGGAATGCATATCGCCCGCTCCCTTTCACGCTTGAGTTTCAGGTAAAGATCATCTTATGTTGAAAAATGACAAAGCTGTAGCCACTGTGCTTAAAAAAACAACGTTCTACAGGTACGGGAGGATTTCACGCTCAGAGCATGTGCTGTGAATGACTCTCAGCGACTACCACATCAACTATTAGCTCAATATCTGTAAAACTGACTAATTATAACCATATTTGAGATACATAAGGCCAGACGGCTTGAATTATGTTGGTTCCGATCAATTGTAGAGGTACATACATTGTTGTTTCCTAAATGTTTCATTAAAATCAACCAAGTGGTTCATGAACTATTTTGCTAACAGAGTTTACTTCAAATACTCAATGGCAAAATTATGAACGATAATCGTGTGTAATATGTTAACTCAAAGTATCATATTTTTTGCCCTGCAAGTCACAGTTTTTTGCATAATTTGCTTGCCCTGCGACTTATATGCCGAAGCGACGTGTTTATGGATTTTTTCCTATATTTATAAACCGATTTTTGGCTGAGATATGACCATTTTCATTCATTCCAACTGAAAATACGGAACTGGTTTCAGACACTACATGGCACTCGAGCAATATGGCATGCTGTTGTATCATGTAATAGGTAAAAGTGGCTATTAATGACACAATCGGCTTGCGATAGCCTGACACTGTCGTCTGCCTGGAGCGACTGTCAAATCAGCTTCATTTTGCTGCGCCGCCCCGGCAAAATGCAGCTGATTTGACCATATAATTTTGAACAAACAAACAATTGTTTTTAATCGTTTATCTTGTTAAAGTCCTCCCGTGCACGCCCCAGTGGCCGCCATTTGGCAGCCAATTGAATTTTGGAACAACACTGGCTCATAGTTCCAGGTTTGGCCCACATTTCCGAGTTGTCAGTGGTGACGCGTAACAAACGTGGCGTGTCAGCGATGACGCATAAAAGATGCGACATATACGGCAAAGCAATGTATTTATGGATTTTTCCACTTAATTAAGACATATTTGGACTGACGCAACATTTACAGCAGAAAATACGATATGTGTTGGTGATCAGCTACTAACACCAGGTTTTAATTCAGTTCAGTTTATTTATATAGCACCAAATAACAAAAAAGTTGTCTCATGTCACTTTACAGGAACATTCATACACACAGAAAAGACAATTAGTAAAGTTCTCTATCTAAGGACTCAATATTTGTAAAAAATTCACAGCTTCAAAGCTGTTTAAGGATTTTTTTTTTTTTTAGGATTAATTAGCTGTGGCAGCCATCTTGAATCAAGTTGATTTTAAAAGGGATTCAGTGATATATGCACATTAAATTATTACTTTCTGAGAGTTTCATTAAAATTCATCCAGTGGTTCATTCAGAGGCAGACACACAAATGTGAGCACACAGATTTGGTTAAAACATAACAAAAAAAAAAAAAAACTTACCGTAAATGCCTGTGGAAATACATGGGAAGGCCTGAAAGGAGAAAAGAGAAATGATTAACAACTTTGATCATACTGACTAAGTACAAACTGTTATTTTTAGTAAGACCAACATGTAAAGTAATGCATGCGCATCATTTTGCTTCTCATTCACTTCCAAACATAACAAAACTGATAATTTTAGGTCAACAAACTGAAGAGATCTGCAGCAGGGGAGTTCAGACCTTATCAACTGTGTGCGTCTGCATATTTCATGTCTGCGCAGTCACTGCAGGACAACAACTGTTTACCTTTGGACTTTGGCTGTTTACCATTTATTGTTTCACTTGCTTGTTCCCAGGAGAAGCAATTTACAGAACGCCTTCCACAAATCCCTGTAAAGCAAATGTGGAACTACGGAGTGAATAGTAATCCGGTTCCCAGTACAATACACACGCCGTTTGTGTTATCTTTGCATCTTTCATGAATATTTAAAAACGTTGTGATGTAGCTGAAGACATGTCATTGATGTAGCTGTAAGAAACAGGGTTAATATCACCTGGAACCATTGGAACAAATAGCTGTTTATCTTATTAAAGCTCAGTATCAATACCAGATGTAATTAGCTGATTTTGCCAAAAGGAAACAGTGGACAACACATATAAATTCACATGTGCACGCACAGTAGTTGCTGTTAAACATTCCCCAGCAAATAAATGCATCATTTAGGTTGACAGATTCTGTCTGTTGCCTGCAGCTCAGACTAACACATGATGTTTCCTCCAGCATGTTTCTAATGCAATACATTCAAGACTGCAAGGTAGGGAACCAGGCAGCTTTCACTCTCTTTAAAGTTGATGCAGATCGCCCACAGTGACTCAGCAGTTTCAGCAACACCAGGGACGTGCTAAGGAGGAAGCCCTTAAATCAGGGATGGGCAACGTTCTTTTCCAGAGGGCCAAATCAAGATACTGACAGCAATCAAAGGGCCTCATACGTTAGCATGCTTGATAAAAAAAATGTGTTTCTCCAATAATCTTTAGGTTGTAAGACTCTATAAACTTTTTCTTATGGAAACGTCTGTTAGCTTAAATACGCTAAATAAAAAATTGAATTAAAACATTAAAAAAAAGTTGACTAAAAAGATGGTTTCAGTCGATTTTTTTAACCCAAATGGTTTTTATGCTTTTGCCCAAGACGCTTCATTTAGATTTCCTTGAATTTCATTGATAAAATGCAGGTTTTCATAAACATATTTAAAAGTTGTTTTCTTTTCAAATAAGAACATTGGGGGCCGGATAGAGATTGGTGTTCAGGGACCACTTTTGGTCCTCGGGCCATATGTTGCCCACGTCTGCCTTAAATGCATCACGGAGAATGTTTAAGACAGATTTTAAATGTTAGCAGAAAGGGACACTATCCAGGCAAATGTTAATACAAATTCATATCTCTTTAAAACAAAACAGACATAATATACAGGAAAATCCTTAACGTGAATATTTTATGAGCTTAAGAGTAAGAATCTACACATATTTATGTACGTCTTTCCCAAAAAGATTTAAGGAAGGTAACCGCCTTGTAATAGTTCTTGCTTTGTAGCACTTTGCAGCAGACATATTACTCAAGCCTGGCTTTATAGCTGAAAATAGTTTCATTATTCTTTACTTCTGTGAGCTAAAACATTATGATGCATAGGCCTCGCTGTACACTTCCCTATTTCACATTCATCTTTTTAAGTACATTAATAAACAGTAAAGAGAAAGGACTTTTTTTTAAAGGTCCTATTTGTCCTCGAAAGCAGCTGAATGCGTGCCTCAGTTCCTACATTCATCAAAAGGTGTGGCCACGACATTAATACAATAAAAAAGACAAATAAAATAAAAATAAAAGCAAAAAAATATTCCACTAGCAGCTCGTTCAACTGGATGGATAGAAACAACAAAACAGCTCAGAGATGCTTCAGAGAAAAACACGCATACGTCAAAATCTCTCTCTGCAAAACTGAGCTCGGCAGTTTGTTTTTCAACACTGACCCTGTCGAGTTGTATTTAGAAGTACGCCGCTGTTAGCAGCTGTGCCAAGAGCACTTCATTTTACAACGAAAAGCTCAATTATTATGAAAGAGAAGGCTGGTAAATCCATGACTCAGTGTGTGATTTGTCAGATATTAAGACAAACATTGCTCGAAAGCGTGTTTTCAGTTGAAAGTAGGCATATTTCTCAGATTAGAAGAGCAAATAATAGGTAAAATATCACTTTTAAGGCTCGCACTTTGACATAGATTGGGCTGCTTTTTTTTTTTTTTTTTGCTTTAAGTGACGGGGAACGAAAGTCTCAGTTTGACTCTTTTTAAAAACCAGTTTCCAGCTTCTGCCTGTCAGGGTGGATCCTTCTTGTGTTGGGTGATTTAAATCTTTTACCAAAGCGTTGACCTTTCCACATGACTGACTGACACAAACCACACCAGATGAAGCACGGGAGGATGATTTTTAGTCAAACTGCCTACGGCAAAGAAAGAGCAGCATGTTTAGGACACCTAAATATGGAAACAAATAAATAAATGAACATTTACATCAGTGAAAATTATACCAGAGCAAATTATGTTAGCTTTAAATTGTACCAGATTACAACTAAGAATAGAGAGAAGAAAAAAAAACCAAAAACAACGTATTGAGTCTTCTGTTACGATGTCTTTGTACCTTTAGTTGGCCTAAATATTTTTCCTATTTCAGCTGAACGTCTTCAATGTCACTCCTTCAACCTGATCGTCTGCTCTGATGTCACTCATTTTTAAAGATATCACATTCTGACGGCAAACCATCAGCTTCATCAATTAAAATCATATTCATTAGTTTACAGACTCATTCATTAAGATCATACTGATCTGAAAATGCATCCGATAATCACTTAAGGCCGTCAGGATCAAACACCACCGAGACAAATGCACTCACTTGTTTCATGAGTGCTCATTGCCAAAAAGTGAGGAGAAGCGTTAAAAGTTCCAAGCACTCAAGATGTTTACATTCTTGTCCATCACTCAGCACCACAAAGGAGGTTCTTATCACCAAAAATCAACTTCTAGTTTAGAACTGACCCAAAACATGCAGAAAGGGCCCGAGACAGCTTCAGTAACTTCTGGCATAAACTGCTCGCAGAATATATGAAAAAAATGTGTGCATGTGCATTTAATGTATTTAACTAAATGGCAAATACAGGTACTTAGAAAAAATATTGTGAAAAAGCTCATGCTCTTTTTGTCAATAGTGAAAATCTTATAGATTCATTACATATAGTGAAATGTCTCAATCCTTTATTTCTTGTAATTTTGATGATTATGTCTCATAAATGATGAAAACCCAAAACTCATAATTACATATTGGAAACTCATGCACACTGTGTACTGGTGAATCCTAGACATGAGCTACAAATGTCTCATCCCTCAAGTCCAGCCACTCCTGAACCAGAGACAACGTCAGAAGCGTCTTACCTGCTGAGGAGACAAAGAACTGGGCTAACAAAGTCCATGCTCAATAATCCAGGTATACGATCCAAAAATGATCAGTCAGGTCATCTGGGCAGTTTCTTTTTTTGGGCCGAAACGTTTCACCTTCCATCCAGAAGGCTTCATCAGTCCAAGAAACACACAACACAAAACTGATTATTCCCCATGCAGCTTACTCCAAAGTGGAACAAACCAGTTATGTTGGTGCTAAGATGGTGTCTTTGGCACGCCCCCTCCTCTGGTGCTGGCCCCCTTCCTTGTCGACAGTCATGTCAAACTGGTTCAAAACCAACAAAGTTTATGCTCAATAATCCAGGTATACAATCCAACAATTTTCAGAACTGGACTGTTGCTCAGTGGTCCAACGTCCTCTTTTCAGATTAAAGGACATTTTCATATCATTTGTAAATCAAGGTCTTAGAGTCTGGAGAAAGAGTGGAGAAGCCCAGAAGCCAAGTTGCTTCAAGTCCAGAGAGAAGTTTCCACCGTCAGTGATGGCTTGGGTCCATGGTCTCTGCTGGTGTTGGCCCATTGTGGTTTCTGAAGTCCTCAGCCCAGGCAGGAGACTTCTGATGTCTCTGGTTAAGGAGTAGATGGACTTGAGGAATGCCACATTTGTAGCTCATGTCTAGGATCTGTCTGTGCACAGTGTGCATGAGTTTCCAAATTTTTTACTTATTTATTTTTTTGGCTACTCTCTTCTTCAGGGGTCTCCACAGCAAACTAACTCAAATAAAGTCTTGGCAAAAAAATCTAACCTCTGCACCACCACTCCCCGTGATCAAGGGTCTTCATTATCTGTAAGCCATAATTAAATATCAACCATATGTCCATAATCATTGGAGGACCTTGTAAAAAGTTGTCCACTTTGACCTCTTTATGGGATTGTAAACAATTGAGACGTTCAATAGAAAAATCAAAGCAAACATGTTCCTTTTTATGTATTTTAGTATTTCACCTTGTTTTATAAGGTCCCTTGATTTGATTTTGTTTTATAACACTAGTTTTTATTTTTACTATAATTGCATTTTATTGCTGTTTATTGTTGTGTGTACCTTACTGGTGGTTTTGTCTAAAACATGTCTCTTGAACTTAAGTCCTCTGTCATGAATCAATGAGACAAACCTGTATAAATAAAGGTTGAATGAAAAATATAAATTACAAGAAATAAAGGCTTTAAATATTTCACTCTATGCGTGATGAATATATATAATATGAGATTCAATTTCTGAAATGATTGACAAAATTTGTTTCATGATGTTCTATTTTTTTTTAGATGTACCTGTAAACCTTCTTGATTTTAAAACCCCGACAGTAAGTTTAGCTCTTGCAGGGTAACATACAGGCCCAGCAGGGAATGCTAGCACTTTGCTATAAGAGCGCATGCTTTAATAATGCACGCTTGCATAGGGCGAAGACAAGCAGTGACAGTAAAATCCCTTATTGCATCACAACGTTTTCAAAGGCGAACATCAAAGTCTTATCATCTTTTAGGAAAGAAACAAACCCCAAAGCCTGCAAAAACTAAAATACATAAGTTTAAAAAAAGCACC